ACTTTTCTCGAAGCGCATGTTTCGTTGCCACGGTCATCCTGCGGGGCATTGCGACCTGCGCAGCACCGCCGCCCTGCCTATCAGAGCATAACCGGCAGCTTGTTGTGCGTGCGTGCGTCGCCAGGGTTCGCCGCTCTCCCACAAAGGAGGCGCCACACTCGTTCCGGAGAACGGCGGGCAGCGAGCGCGCGCACCTTATACGACACCGGCCGCCTGCCAGACACGTTCCAGTTCTTCTGTGACGTGTCCAATCGCAACAGAGCCGGCGGTGTCGGAAGCGACGATGACAAAAAGGGGGGACGCAAACAAAACGCGTCAAGCGAGGGAGGAATACGCATGACCGTGACAACGGCGAAACGGGAGTCGGCCCTTCAAAAGCACCGACGCTCAAAGAACGGAGGATGGGAGTGCAAAATTAACGGGTCACCCTGATTTCACGCTAGAATGGGTTTTCCAGCGGCCCTGAACTTTGTCCATGGAGCAACCCAATAATCGCCTCTCAGGCGCCGCCATCTTTGTCTGCTGGCTTCTAGAACGCGTTCGGGACACGTGAGCGTTCATGGGCGGAATACTACACGCTACGCATGCGTCGACAAACCATTGAATTAACTTTTTTTTTTTTTTTTTTGCGCGCGTCTGCCATGCATTTTATTATTTATCCTCAGCCAAAATAAGACTGCGGCGTCAACTGATAAGAACGCCCAAGACAGGATCACGCCGCAAAAAGCGTGATCATCATAGGTGACGCCAGTGACTCTAGGAGGTTGTGGTAGGCCACGAAGATGCTGACAAGGACGTCTTGTCCCTCTATCGCCCGGGGGACGTCAATCAGCAGGACGCGAAAGAAATAGCGGAGGATTTGAAGCGGAAGATAATTTCATTAGACGATGGGATCAGTAGCATACATTGCCACCACAACGAGCGAGTAATATTAAAATTGTAGGGGGAAATCTCTATGCAATTGTGTTGGATACGCGAAAGGTTCTTACATGACAAACGTTTAGCGATACTCTGAGTTTCCAGACGCCTACGTTCACGGCGCTCTTCATCACTTCAGCAGAGCGATAGCTAGGGAAGGCGAAGGGAGAAAACCACCAATCATGAGCTGTATAGAGCTTTCTGGGAGGGCCTCCCCTCGACCTTCCTATGATGCAACAGACTATAGGGCCTCTTTCAAATCGCATAAGTATATAAAGATGGTGCGCTACGACAACGAAATGTGACAAGGAACTTCGCAACTCCGTCCCCGCATTAGAAACGACAAAAAGAGGAGCGTGCGAACAACGCGAGATTGGAAAGTAAGGTAACTTTCCGCCATCCCGATCGTCCGAACCAGGCGAATTTCGTGGATGGCGTAGGATTCGCCGCAAGCGAACGCGATTGTACTCCACAGAATGTACTATTCCATAGTACGACGAAAGTAGTTTCACGCGACAGGATGTGCAATCCCTCCAAGCAGCCGGCATATCGTGTGCCCAATGATGAGCGTGCTTCACACGTGCGGCACCAGAGAGCTTCACCTGCCGCAAACACGTGAGCGGGGAAATGTAGGAGCAAAGGACGGGGCTTGGCCGTCGAAGTACAGGGCATAGACCAAATTCTCTCTCGAACAGACTACAGTTGCCTATTAATATGTTTCGTGATTTCGGTATACACCAAAAAAAGCCCGAAAAAATACCCCCCTAGCCACTTTTATCAAAATCGAGAAAAACCGAAGGAAAAAAATCCCAAATCAAAACTTTTCTTGAATAAGAAAAACAGAAGTTCGCCGGGAAAAGCTCTATATCCCCATTTATGTATGCTTTTGTTTTTAACTCATTGCTTAGCTGCTTTTTTTTCTTTTTTTTTTTAATCAACATTAAACCGTTCTCGAAGTATTCTGATCACGCGCACGTACCTTGGGGATGTGGGAATTTCATGCCCGTGTCCAATTTTCTTCTACCTAAGTTGCGGTAAACACCGATCTTTTTTCCCCATCAAAAATTGACATTAGAAAACAAGAAATGTGTGGGGAAAAATAAACACTCCAAAAAAACACTCCCGTGCTCTAAAGAAAAAAAAAAGCAATAAACCCCGAAAACGCGGAGCCCTATATGAAAAAAGCCAGCACGTCTGCTTTCCCGTGGCTGGCGGTGGTTTCTGGTTTCCCGTGGCTGGCTGGCGGTGGTTTCTTCGCTTATTTACCCATACCGGACGCGTGAGAAATGATCAGAATAACATTTTGTAAAAGAATGAAAAATTAATTAACAAATCATTCGCAGCGCTCAAAAAAAAAAAATACTTGAGACAGTCTATGGTCACTAAGAGCTAAAGAAACGCAGGTCGTGGCGAGCCTTGAGCCTTTCATTATCGCCCCTCAGCCAATGAGCATGCGGTATTAGCAGTTAGGAGTGCACGAGAACCAATCACGAGACCAGATGCGCGAACACCAATTGCTGAGTGGGTGCCCTCCGACCGCGATGACGTTCCATGGAGGGGAAGCAGGATGTTCGCAGGCCTT